GAGGACAGAAGTAGTTTTGATTCATCTGAATACGTGACACCACTTTCATGATGTGGGGTTACATTTTAGCTCTAATGATCCCCAAAGTAACAGTGATATTTTATAACCCATTATTTGTTGCCGAAGAACAGGAAATAGTCCTTTTTATAAAAAAAGCCTGCTTGCAGTTTTTCCTTCAAATTTCAGCGCAGGTGCTGGCAGAAAGACAAAAGAACGCTCTGCTCTATCTCAGAGCAGCTAGCAGGAGGGGAGGCAGCCTAGAAGTCGAATGAGAAGTCAGCAAGAACCTCTCTGTCTCTTCAAGGGGCTCTGGGGGAGGTTCTAGCAGTGATTAAGCTATGAGTAAAGCACTGAGGCTGGAAATGGTCAGAAACCACAGAGGAACACAAACTCCTGGAAATACCTCTTCCCCCTCCTACCAGTGCTATTATTTTTTGAACAGAAAATGAAAGCTGTGATACACAGCCAAGAAACAGGGACAAATTGCACTGTGCTTAAAAAACAAGTAACCAGATGAGAAGACCACAGGAGTTTTACTCCCATAAGGTAAGTGAGCGCAGATGCAAGGCTCAAAGAGTATTGTGCAGTCAACACGTATTTTGTCAGACACCTAGATGGAGTCATGGCACACGGCCACTTCCTTGTACAGTGAGGGCAGCCCTTTGGGAGCGTGACTGGACAGCCTTTCGTACACGCTATCAAAGCAGACTTCTGCTCAACGCACTATGAGATCCGGACTTGGCAAGTCTGAAAGTGAACCAAGATCTACGGTTCTGAAGGTAGAGGATATATTCAGGTTGTCTGTCCAGAATTTCATCAGATAAGACTCATATTGTAAACCAGTAACTGTTCAGATTTTTTTATACTCTGTTTACATGTGAACGGGCACAGGGAACTCATTCTGTTGCGTTGGGTTTTTTAATTCCCCTTTTCACTCCAAGCTACCTACTGTGACACAACAGATGATGCAGCTGTGTAATTATACAACTTATTATTAGATCATACAGGCAGAAGAGACATTACTAGCATTCCTTGTTTATACTGTAATCCACTTACTGAGGTTCATCATTGTCAGCTCTCTGGAGGAGGGATAGTGCAGCCTCTCTGCAAAGTCTCGGCAATACCACACAAGCAGCTCTTGGTTGGCAGGGATGGGTTTGATGGTGTAGAAGTAGATGTTCATTCCATTCTGACAAGCAGCCAAGTTCTGTTCCTGAACAGAGTAGCCGGGGTTTACATAACGCATCCAGTTGCTCTTGTCCTCGTTAAATCCGTCAATGAAGTGGTGAAGCTCGCCACTTGAATAGATCTGGAATAGAGAGGAAGTGCTTGTGAATATATATACGCACAACGCGCACCACGTGCGCGCAGAGTCCAGGAGGGAAAAATGATAAGCTGCTTTTTTTTTTTTTTTAACAAGCAGATACTACTGAAATAAGAATTCAAGTCAGGTTCCCCCTTTCCAACTGTGATATCCTCTGCATTAAGAAAGAGATGCTTACTCAAAGGTAAGTCCACAGTCACCTTTTCCATTTCTGCTTAGGCTGTGTCTCTGCTAGTTATGGACAGATCAGACCCAAAATCTGAAATGCAGAGTACTGTCCCTGCGTGAACAGTCTACCTGAGTCCTCTTCCTGGTGCTATGATCAACAAGTGGGTGATGCTAATGACTGCAGGTCTGGGTGCATGCTTGCATTAATGCTTTGAGTCACCTGCGTATAAGACTGACTGGCTGTGCTACGTCAGAGTCCTTCTCGCCTTTTTCTATGGCCTCTGTACTTGCAGTTTCCTACCACCTCCACCCAAAGGTTTAAACTATGCAAACATCCTCCACCCCCCCAGAGTTCTAAAGCAACACTTGCTCATAGTTGGACTGTAACCCTTTTGTAGAAAGCCTGGGCGAGGCAAAGATGAACTTCACCTGCCATAACTTAACCAAGACCTGGAGAGGGGCCAGCCGATGAGAAGTCACTTTTGCTATCGAGGTACATGTTCTGGCTTGTCCACAGAAGGGAAAGAAAAAATGAATCTAAAAACTGCTCAGTGGCTTGGGGGGAAAGAAGTCACAGTCACTGACAGAAGTTACTGTTTTTTAAAGTGGTAAGAATAAGAGAATTACTTAAAAAAAATTTTCAAAAAGGCAAGAAAAATCCAGGAGACATGTTTGTTAAAGACACATCCCCTACTCTCGGGGAGAACTAGCTCCATGCTGGATGAAATGCGGTTCCTGGGTTTCGCAAAACAGACAACCGCGCAAAAGCCAGCCCTTGAAGCGTGAGCAGCTTGCACCAGCGACACACCTCACTGAGCAGGAAATGCCTTTCCAAAGGGGAGACAGCGCTTATCTCAGGGGGAAAACACTCCTACGGCGTGTTCCTGCCTTTGTGTTCACACCACTGTCTCTTGCACCTACCTGGCCGGGCAGCACGCCCTGCCAGCGCCCACCGGCCGGCCAGGACCTCTCCTCTTCTCCCCAAGAGAGCTGCCGGTGGAGACGGGTGAGGCAGCCTGGCCCTTTAATGCAGGCCGTAAACACCAGAATCACTTTCTTTAAGAGTAACTTCCTGTAAACTGAGAAGGGGGAAATACATGTGGCCTCATCAAAGCAGCTTGTGAGAGATTTTGCGGTGTGTTTGTTATGAGAAAATGGAAGGGAGCCGGGCAACTTGTGCTGCATCAAGAGGAGCCTTCGGGTTTCTCTGTTCACCCCGGCTCGCAAACTTCCAGGAACGCAGGGCTCCGGCGCTTGACGCCTTCCGCCGCTTCCCAAACCGGCCCTCCACCGCTCCCATGGCATCCCATGGCAGGGCCATGGATGCTGCTGGGTCACTGTGCTCTGGCTTTAGGGCGAAGGTGCCCCACCAAGCCCCCACCTATTCTGGGGAAGGCGAGACCAGATGTGCTGAGTCACGGTGTGGTTCCCAGAAATGACGCTGGCCCCGGGCAGCCCCGCTCCCCTTGTGTGGGCAAGGCGCAGGCAGCGTCCCCCCGCGCGCACAGCAGATGTTCCTGCTCCTGCCAGCAAGCCCAGGATGCCTTTAATAACATGTGGGAAGTTATCTCCCACAATTTCCTTTGCATATGCAAGTCTGTGTCAGACCCCTAGGAAGGAATTCATTTTTGGTGCAGCAGCCTGTCTTGAACGAATCAAGAGATTAGAACAGGGAATTTAATGATGCTTCGATGGCTCCTAGGATATTATTTTGAGGATCCTTCTGCATTAAGGCTTAAAATCACATCATGAGAATGATGTCATCTTTCTCACTGCAATTTATGAATGAAGTCCTGCAAGATGGTTAGCAGCTCCTCTTCCCAATGTCTGCTGCCTCATTAACAACTGGCAGGGCCAGGGCCGGCACACCGGTCTTCTCCTACACTGGATGCAAACTCCCGAAAAATTTGGCTAAAAGAAACATGTTGTAGCCTTAGGAATGTGGAAACAGTTGCCTGCTTTGTAAGAAACACACATGCAAATAACTGCCTGTGCAATGCTGTATTACATTGCACAAAGATGATCTGAGAAACCAAAATGATGCAATTAGGTAGGAAGAAAGGGGTGTGGGGAACACTGGTGCTTGCCCTGGGTTTCACCTGGATATGAGGTTGGGATATTGCTAAGGCAGGCAGGCACCTGGGCACAGAGGCGTGGATATACTCCCAAATCCACCGATTCAGACACAACCTAAACGGCCAGAAAGCAGCAAAATAAATCCATGGAAGGAGATGGGCCTGAAGGAATGTTCTCTAACAATTAATAACAGGTCTGTAAAGGAAACTGAGGATTATATCAACTGATAAACTGGAAGCATATTCCCCAGCACAGACTTCCCAAGCTGAAATAAATTGGCTGGTGCTCCCTTCCAGCTTATACTACATCGTACAAATTAGGCATCACCTCTAGTATTTGTCTGCCATTAATGGATTATTTTCCCCTCACTAAGATTCCTGGGCTGTTCTTTTAACACTTTCTGAAGCGGACTAGAAAAGCTTATGACTTGAATGATATATGCTGAAGATCACCACCACTGTGTTACTGCTGTTCTATTCAAAACCCAGGAAAAAAGGTCACAAAATGTATCCTAATTCCAGAGTAAAAGATTATGCAGCACTTTCACAGCTCCTTCATAGCTGGAAAAATCAAGGATGCGTGATATTTGCATAAACAAGAATGACTTTCTGCTGTGAAGAAATGCAAAATAACCTGCCCTTACAGCAAGTAGCAAAACTATTTCTTTACACAATCGAGCACTGATCCACTTCAGAAGACACAGCCATCTTCCGTGCATCTCCCCTGCTCTCTCCACCCACACAGTCCCTACATCCAAGACAGCCAGGCTTTTACTCGGCTTAGCTCACCCCACTGGCTCTGTTCGTGCCTGGCAGCGTGCAGAATTGCCCCCTGCACTGACACAGGTCTGAAGCAGGAAGTGACCCAGCTTCTCAGCTGTACTCATTTAGTGATCTGCTTACTGCAACAACACGGTGCTGTTTTTTCCTGCTTACCCGCCAAAAGTATTTTCTGTTCGCATTCTTGGGAACCGTATCGCTGGTATAGATCTCTCCTACCAGGGGTCCAAAGCGCGTTCCTTTTGGGATGTACTCTTTGCTTATCACTCCAGTGACCTACAAGAAGAGCAGCACAGGATTAGTCCATCGCCAGCAGAAATCAAAGAGTCATCCTTCCTCTCCCTTGTCCCCCGAACTTAACAGGGTAAAGCAACCAAGGCAAGAAATTTTTAGTGACAGGTCAGCAAAACAGAAATACATTAACAACCGTGTTGGATACAATACGACCAGCTTTGTTAGATACTAGCATCTTACAGAGACATACAAAAGCCAAAGATGAACACTGCCTGAAAAACCTGTTTTGTGGAAATACATTTAGAAGAAGAAACAGTAAGTGAAACGTACAGAGAGACTGCCAAATACCTTCAGAATTTGCTTCTCCTATCAAAGCAACCCTCAAAAACTAGTTCCAGCAAAGAAAAATACTTAATAGCTATCAATCACTTTACTGCTACAGAGATTGCTTTTCCAGTAAGTTAGGAACTGGAATAACTTCTCCTCCAGAACAAAATGAAACCTTCCCCCCCACACCACCTTCTGCACTCTATACCCGTCCTGATAGCTAAAAGGAGAACAACAAAAAAAAGATGACCTACAACTCTCTCACCAGCATACAGTGGCATACAAAACAGAGTACAAAATGGCTTTGGGACACGTACTCACAGATCACCCTCTTTTATAAAAAGGAGACTGCAGTTCCGGTAACATAAGTCAAGTGGGTTTGGTCAGAAAGGCGTAAGGTTTTTGATGAAAATGCTCCACTATGCTAGGTCTAAGAAATGTACTCTAGTTGTTCAGCTTCCTTCTTGACAGTAATTATACCAAAAAAAGTCACTGACCACAAATCAGGAAGCAATTCATCATTATTCAGAAGAACGTGCCTTGGAGTAACCCTTTGCAAAACACTGCTGAGTTATTGGTTTTGTCTCTCTCTGTTCCTCACCAATCTTCTTAAAATGTAATGTATCCAAACAATGTTAGAAAAACAACAATTTTGTAAACCAAAAACCCCAAGCCTTTGCAAGACTGATCCTGCTGCACAGATAGTGGAAAAAAAGGAAGGCAAAAAGCCCATTAATTTGGTATTATAACCAAACTTTCATGGCAAAATGGATTAATCGTATCCCCTTCACACATCTTGCCCCTTGTCTTTTTGCTCGCCAGGATTTCAGAAGACAACAGGAACAGCAGGAGTGGCTGACGAACACCGAGAGTTGGGACTACTGCTGTCTGTACCCTGCAAGGAATCAACGTTCTTATCAAAGCAGATCAGCGCTCATCAGACCCTGCAGAAAGCTCACTTTGGTCAGCGTTTTGCTTCGTAACAGTCCTTCGCAGCAAAGGATGGTAAAAGCCCTGGACTGTAGACAGCACTTCACCAATTAGCTAAGCCTCGTGATTTTCTGATGCTACATTTTCTTCTGTTATATCACCCTTGGTGGGAGACAGGGAGAGAGACGGACAGAGAAATACTTTCCTGTGTATTGGTCAAGATTAAAAATCCCAGTAAACAACTAACGCCTAGCACAATTTCATGTTAAATGTCAAAACAAAAGGGACAAATAACAGCCATGGACTCAAGGAGGTAATCCACCCGGAAACAGATTGCTGGGTGTACGTGGTGGCTGTTGGTGCTTGTCTGCGTTTCAACATATGTTTCAGCACACTACAGAAAAAAAAAATTAAACATCAACAGCAGAGGTAGTTAAATGCTCCATTGATCTGTGCATCTGGACTGAAGAGAGAGAAAAGGGACTTCCAGAAATTTTCCTACACCTACCACAAGCTGAAACAAGCTCAGTGGCTCAGTTTTATTTTTGTCTTGCTTGTACATTTCTCATAGAGAGCTGAAAAAGGCAGATGTTGTTCTCATCTTCCCCATATATCTTCATTTACATCCATCTGCCCTCTCACGAAAAGTTCACAACCAAGCTACAGCACACCCTACCAGGTTTACTGCATGGTAACTGGAGTTTTTTCATGGTTTTAAAATATCTTGGCCTTAATTAAAACGACTTTAATGAAATTCTCAGAATCTCTAGAAATCACTCCTCGAACTAGTCAACTTGAAACACTCACTGAACTGGTGTCTCTGACACAGCAGATACTTTTTGATATCCACCTTACATGCAGTGTTTGCTTCTCCCCCGGAGCAGCTGAACACGAAGATGATTTCTCACCCCGTGCCCACCAGAAGGTTATTTTGGCAGAGGACATTCTGCACATCTCTGTGTGTGCCAACACCGAAGTTTTGCTAAACCAGACTAAAGCTGTCCAGGCGACTTCTAACCGAGGGTGGCTTTCTGGTCAGCAATTCTCGGCCTCCGTTGTGCCCCCACAAGCTCGGCTGCTGTGGTCGAGGCGGGGTACCCTCCAGGAGAGGGGTGCCGGCAGTGCCAGAACAGGCTAGCTC